TTATATATAAATATGAAATGAGTTGTGAAAATGCCCCATCCTCCCCAAAGTCATACAAGATCTCCAGGCCCCACCTCCTTTTTTATATTTAAAGGCCCCACTCCACTTCTGATTTGTGGTACACAGAACTTTATATCCTGCTGGCAACTTCAGAAAGAGAAAAGTTAACTTTCTGTCTTGATTTCATTGTATTATTAGGTTTGAGATGCTCGATGCTGCAAAGAACAAGATCCGAGTGAAGATCAGCTATGTAATGATTGCCCTGACAGTAGCAGGATGCATCTTGATGGTTATTGAGGGCAAGAAGGTGAGAGTAGACTTCCTCTCTATCTCTGTTTTCCACAAAGGACCTAGAGGAAATTAGGGGTTGACCTTCGTATTTATTCTCTGAGAAAAGAGGAGACTACTGTCTACACGAGAAATGATAAGAAACAAAATAAGATGTAGTGGGGACAAACCTGGGATATCATGCCTGGGATAAATAGCAAATCCTAACTTTGGCAAGGTGAAGGACTAAATCAGTTTTGTGTAAAGTAAAAAAAGTGTCTAGTTACCACAGACGTTATAAATAGTGTGAAACAAGAAGTATGACACTGGCGTGTTTATTGATAACTCCTTGCATGTCTATACAGCACTCTCAGTACGTGCGCTTATTTATCCTCACTCTGCCTTAACCCTGGTGCACATTCTTATCACTGTACTTGAAGCTCAGCCAAACTGGGCCATATGTCTAAGGACCATAGCTCCTGAGTGGTACCTAGGAATTCAAGTCCAGAAATCCTTGTTTTGACGTAGATCATTATTAAAAGCTGTCACTAACTGAATACTCACTGTCTTCCAAGTACTTTGCTGTTATCTCATTTGGACCTCACAATAGCACTGCAAGACAGGTACCATTATTGGGACCTCATTTATGGTTGAGGAAACGGCTTAGAAAGCTTTAGTAACTTACCCAAGGTCACACATCTCCCTACTGGCAGAGCCACAGTTTGAACCTAGACCTGTCTAATTGAGGTGATAGTAAAATTGCTCAGTTATCGAGTGCTTATTATATGGCAGGTACTGTTAAACTCATGTAATCACAATAACCCTAAGAAGCTCAGAGGTAGGTGCTCTTACTATCTGTGTTTTATAAAAGAGGAACCTGAAGCTTAGAGATGTTAAGTAATTTTCCCAAAGTTACATAGCTAATAAGTGGCAAGATATAAATTTAGAGCCAAGTTTGCAAGATACCATGCTATCTTGTGATTAAAATCTAGTTATTTTTAATATGCAGCAGCACTGGTAAAACCCTTATTTTAATACCATATCTAATTCTATATATCACAACTTCTATATGGAAAGAGATGTCTTGTATCTATTATCAGATATTAAAAAGGTTCTACAAACCCAGTGGTAACTGACTTCTTATCCTCAGTGAGTCTGGAGTAAAAGGAAATGAACTTCTGGCTCTCTTTAGAATCTTGGAATGGAAAATACTGACCATTTAGGCTGACCTCATGGGAGCAGGAAGGACAAGTGTGCAGACCTGGGTCGAGTTTTCTCGACAGTTCTATTCCTGCTCCACTGCGGTTTTTCTTGTCTCCCTCTTTGACCTCTCATGCTTGGTTCTCAGATTGAACCCTGCAGAAGCATGTGGACAGGACATGGGGGTTTCTAGAATTCTGAGACATCTGCATTGCTGTTGTCTACTTTATTATACTAGCTGTGTTTAAATACTCCAGAAACAAATTACTCCAGGATCTCCTCTAGCCTCATCCAAGGGTATACGCTGTGTACTTTAGAGAGTTCCTCTCCTGTTCTATACCATAAAATTGTATTATTTATCTTTTATAGAACTAGCCATTTCTAAAAAGTTGGTAAATGCTACTGGAATGGAGAACTTTTGAACTTACTGCAATTTAGAAGAGAGAAATTAGCCATTATAAGTTTTGGCCTCACTATCAACATTCCCATTCTCCTCCCTATACCTAATTCTTCACATGTGAAATTACGCAGATATAAGAAAATACCGCCTTATAGGGTGCTAGTTTAACTTATTTGGTATAAAAAGTTTGAAACTGGTCTGTTTATGTAAGCTTCACAGAAATGTGATAGGTCACATGGAGGAAACAGGGGAAGAGGATGGTTGCCTCTCCCCACTGCTGTTTGCTCTCAGGCTGGAGTGGTGGGATAGATAGTGCTGGAAGTCATCAGTGGTAGTACTTGGTAAAGTCTGCGATCCTGAAAGCTGAATGTTTCTGGTAAAAGAGGAGTAAGGAGCTAGAAGGCTGTGAAAGTGTACCATGAGTTGGGGAAGGAGAAATGGTAGCAACAAAGAAAAGTGAAAGGAGAAAAAAGGGATAGAAATGGAAGTGAGAAGGTGTTTAATACTAAAGAGAGGAAAAAGAGAAAGACAAGGGAATACATTATAAGGGAAGAAGAGAGGCTTGGAGGTGTCAAGAGGCCAGGAAGGGAGAGAAGGTAGAGGTATGGCATTTCTCTCTGAATGGGTGGGCTACAGTCTGTGAAGTGTGAGAGGAAGCAGAAGGCACACGGGGGGGACTTTGTGCCGGCAGCAGACCATTCCATGCCTGTACTGCCCTAGTGACCTGCTGACATCAGTTCTAGGTAATGACGTCCTCCCCAAACCGGCATAAATAATCACCTGTTCAAATTTGTTTCACTTTAGGCTGTCAAAAGAAATGAGTCTTTAACAAGCCTGAACTTAGAAAAGAAAGCTCGTCTGAGAGAGGAAGCAGCTATGAAGGCCAAAGCAGAGTAGCAGAGGTATCCGTGTTGGTGGGATTTTGAAAATCCAGGAATAATGTTGCAGCAACAAGCCTGTATCGTTGTATGAGGATCCATTTCTTAAAAGTATGGTTTGCACAAGCTTATACCATTTCCCTATTTCTGCTCTAGGTACCAATAAATTTTCTTAAAGAAATGACTTGTCTATATTTTATGGCTTTGATCCAGGTAAAATGCAGCCTCTCAGCTCTTTGGAGAAAATGAAAGAATGAAAAATGAGACAACTTATTTCAACTTTAATATTAGCTCTTCTTTAGAGAGTCAGGTACCATTTCCTACTTTAATTCCCATTCCCAAAGTGACCTCCTCTCAGAAGTCAAAATGGCTTCTATTTCTGTGTCTCTCTCTCTCTCTCTCTCTCTCTCCTGTGTACCCATTTCTAGAGAGATAAGGAAGGCCAGCCGAGTACACTGCCCAGGTGCATGCTAGAGAGCTCACCTCCCTGCGTGCCATGGTGCTTCTCAGAGCCCTGGGAGGCAGCCAGACCACACTCTGCATCCTCGGGTGTGCTGGCGGATGAGGCTTTTAGGAGAGCAGTCTTTGAAAAAGTCCTGGCAAGGGGATGAGAGTGGTCTGCCATGAGTTTCTGAGGACTTTGAAATTCCAGCTTCATGGAGTTGCTTGGAGCCAGCACAGTCACTTCTGCTCCATGGCTTAGAATTCCCAACTTTTCCTTCTACCTTTACACTAAATTTCTCGATTGTGAAAATCTATCAAATGCATTTTCTTATTAGTGTTGAAAGATACGGATTTTCATCTGGTATGTATCTCACTTACACTCTACTGGGATGTTGAGTTGTCGCATATTTAGGTGTGGATGCTGGTATTTATTTTAAGTATTGCATTTATTCTCACATGCTGCAAGAGTATTAATGGATGACAAGTCCTCACAGCCATCCCAACCTGCTAGTTCTCCCAGAGGGTTATAACAGATTAAAATGTAATATATGCAGCTGCCTGGGAACTTGGTTTAATAAAATACTCAGTGAAGTATAATACACCACTCCACCTATAGCTTCATAATCTATCTGATGATGTTAATGATGTCTGTCTATATACTTTAGAGTAATTTAACCTTAGCTTCTTTTTAGATACCAAGTTCTTTGATTTTTATCACTTGTAAATTTATCATCAAAATATATTTATATATTTTAGCAGACTGTTTTTTCTTGATTATTTTGGAACACTTATGTTACATCTTACCTAAACCAATGTTTTAAATATGGGTAAATTTTAATGTACTTCTTTTAAAAATAAGTGGTCTTTCTTCATAGAACAGTACCATTTTTAACCTCTAAAGAAGCATCTTAAAGTGTTGTATCTTGGAGATTTATTGTAATAAAAATGTTTCATTAAACCAAAGCTCACAGACGTTACCATATAGCAAGAATTTACACAATCATTTCTCATTTTCTGTCATTTTCCTACTCAGTAACTTATAGTGGCTACCTCTTTATGGGTTAAATATAAATTTCTTGGCTAGAATTTCAGCCCTGCCCTCCTCTAAGACCACTTCTCCCAGTACCCTCACATACTAACTTTTTAGCAGTCATACTCTACTAATAATTACTATAATATCTTACATTCCTCAGAACTTGTCAAGCAAATCAGATTTAATGAACACTTTTGTAAGGTACTATAGAATACAAAAGAAGAAAGTTTCGCTTTTATGCTTTCACTTATTGTAATATTTTTTGCTTAATTTCTAGATTTTTTTTCATGTTTATTACATCTCTGTAGGTAAAGTGGGCAGAAACCATTTTCCACTTTATTTTTCCTATAAGCCCTGTTTGAATAAAGTTAATACGTGAAGCTATGGTCAGATACTTTTTTTTTTTTTTTTAATTTTTTGTTTATTGCTTGGTCAGATACTTTTAATTTTAATCAACAAAAATAATAGTGTGGGGAACTGATTCCAAAAATTTATTGAAAGCAGGCAAGGAATGAATGAAGTTGTGTGGTGGTATAATTCACTGTCATTCATCAGACATTACTTGTCTCTTCTATATACAAAGACTCAGAATACAAAGATGAATAAAACATACTTCTCGACTCCATAGCGCTCATAACTTACTGGAAGCATGGCCCATGAAACCATTACAATACAAATTAGTAAATGACATATTTTGAACTTTATAACAGAAGTTATAGAAAGAAGCAAAAAACCCCTAACTTAGCTGTCAGCTATGAATGGAGACAGGCAGGCAGTGATGGCTGCAGGAAGTGGTGATTTCTGAACTGAACTGAGCTTGAAGCACAGGTAGGAATTAGTAGGTCAGACACATAATGGAAGAGAGCAGGCCCACCATTCAGACATTTAGCTTGCCTGAAAATCATGAGGGCACAGTCTGAGAAGATAGTGAGAGGTCCTTCAGTAAAATGGCATTTATAATGTTGTTTTGGTTTATTTTTGAGTTTAATCTTAAAAACTTAAAAATTTTAGACTCTCAGAATAAACCTAACCCTGACTTATTTTTCCCAATTTACAGACTTGATTCCATAGACCAATTCATGTCCCATCATGTAAGCTATCACTTAAAGTGAGTGAGAGGCATCTGACATACGTCTCCTATCCACCACCATCCCACGCTTATGCTCTTATTAATCTGATCTCCCAAACCAGAAACCTTGGAGTTACTCCAAACTCCTTTGCTCTCCTCATTTAACCAGTCATCCTGTCTTGTGAACCTTACTTCTAAATATTTCTCAAATACACTCATCCTCTAGAATAGTCATGGAGAGGAATAGAATGGGAATCTGTTCAGGGACAGACACGAAATTAATAACTGACCGCAAGATTAAAAGTCAAAAGCCCTAGGTTCTAGACTTGCTTTTCCAACTGTCGTGCTTTATAAATTTAGTTTATAGGTCTTAAAATGTTATAATCCATGACAATGTTAAGAAATACCAAACCATCTTTTTAAATACCTTTCTTTGCCAACTTGGCTCTACTACTTGATTTCTAAAAGGTTTAGTAGTTACTCCTCCACAGTTTAATTGTTTTGTCATTTCCTAATGCTGCTGATGCAATGATGTTTTCTGTAGGATGACAAGCTGCTGAGATTACAACATCTGTATGACCTTGTAACTTCTGTACAATCTCTTTAGTCTGAAGGTTCCAAATGTAAATCAGGTTATCCTCTGAACCAGATACAATCCACTTTCCACCAGTAACTGAAAAATTGGCAAATATGCAGTATTTCTCATTCTTATGACCAGTGTACGTCTTCAGGCATCTGCCTCTGCTATAATCCCATAGTTTAAGAGTATTGTCCAAAGTTGCAATGAGAATATATTTACCATTTGGAGAAAATTTTACAAAAGAGACAGGAGGGTTATCATCATCAACAAGTGTTTTTAAACACTGACCTGATGCAGCATCCCAGATTCTACAGACACCATCATAGCTACCTGACACTATCAAGGACCCACTACAATTAAAATGAACAGCAGAAACTGGGTCAGAATGAGCAGACAAAGTCTTGAGGCACTTGCCTGTTTTTACCTCCCATATTTTCACGGTCTCATCAAAAGAACCTGAAATGATGAGGTTGGATGGTGGATTGAAATTACAGCAAAAAACATAATTACTGTGCCCCTTCAGCGTTTTCAAACATTTTCCAGATCTCACATCCCAGATCTTTAGAGTTTTATCATCTGAGGCAGAAACAAGACGACTGGAATCTGATGACCACGCAACATCTGATATTTCCAGACTGTGGCCATAAAGTGTTTTCTCATATTTTCCATCATAGGCTCCCCAAATAATAATTACTTTATCAGCAGAAGAACTTGCTAGCCATTCTCCATTAGGACTAAACTTAACTGATGATACTGCCTCTGTATGTCCCACGAGAGTAAATTTGAGAGCATAGTTTGGTTTTTCAGACGCTTGCTGGCTCGGATTGGCTGATGAGAGGGCCGACTCTGCTCTGGCGTCTCCTGACTCCTTTGCTGCCATGGCTCTGAAGCTCCAAGTCAGTAAGTTGGCTAGGCGACCGGCCCTGAACTAGGCAGCCCACTATTTTCTGTTTATGCTCAGCAAAATGAAGATAAAAATATCAGATTCAAAAATAAACGTTCTTTTGATGATTATAATTTCTGGGTCGTCTTCAAACTACGATATACATTGATTCGACAGCATGGCTTGGACCACTTCAGTTTTTCCTGGCTTCCTCCTTTGTAAACAAACACAGGAGAAATACTATTAAAAGGTTCCTATGCGCTGTCGCCAGTAAGGTATTAACGTTGGGTATTTGGCGAATGCACAAAGCTGTCCCAAGCGGCGCGGGGCGGGGGAGCCTCCACAGAAAGTAGTTTTCGCCGCCCCGCCCCCACCTCCGAAATGTTTGAGAACACTGAACCACCCTACCAGTCAGACAGACTTTAGTACTTGAGCATGAATGAATCACCGCTTTAACCAGATTTCAGAAGCTAAGAGAAAACCTGCGTAGGCACGGATATTTGAGGCCTGAACTCGCCAGTTACACTCCGCAGACATAAAGGGATACGCACTGCCACGTCAATCGCTTAGCCAGCGGGCAGGACAGCCCAGAGCATGCGCAGAGGGAGCCACCTCCCACCACCACCGCTTCCGAGCCGAGGTGGCCAATGGGAAAGGCCTGCCTGCGCTTGCGCAAAAGAAGGCGCTGGGGCTTCCTTCCGGCGCTGTCTGCTCTCGGCTTCCACACGCGAACGCTGTACTGCGTCTTTGGGGGAGTGGGAAGGTGAACGGGGCTTCTCCCGGGGCTGACTGGCTAGCTTTTTGGAAACTGTGTCACGAGAAAGGACTGAATTTTCCGATGCCGTTAGCCACGGGGTTAAGTTCACTTTTGGCCCGTGAGCTGCCCAGATGGTGCTCTTTTCGGAGATGTAGCTAAACTCACTTCGATCCACGCAGCCGCCGGTGACCCGGGCAAGCTCTGCTTCGGGGGTAACATTGGTTCTGCTCCGTTCTGCTGGTTGTGGTGCAGAGCCTGGTGGCGTGAACGCAAGGCTGCAAATAGGCAAGGGGAGCCTGAGATTTGTGGTGTAAAAGTTTTCCCCGAACGTTTCGGGAAGGATCAGGAATATGTGTTAGGGGCCCTTAAAGGCCAGTGCTCAGATAGCATGACGTGGTAGTGCCGAGGAAACGAGCAAACCTTTGTTTTAGCACTTCCTTCTAGTTTAAACTTCCAAAGGAAAATTTTAAAAGGAGTTCAGGTCTTCCTAGGTGCTTGAGACAGAAAAGGACAAAGAAGTTGGTGGAACGAGGTGAGAAATGTGTAAGGTTATCGTAATTAGGGTTTAGAGAACTTTCCCTAGTGTTAAGAAGTAATCGCCGTGAAAGTCTTATGTAAACGATACATGCTTTTCAGATGTAAGTTACTCTCTTTAAACCCGACCAAAAATTGGAAGTCTGACTAGTTTCTCCAATCCTGTACTTGCTCGGTAAAGAGTGCCCAAGAGAGGCAGTGTTTTCTGTTTAAAAGGTTTTCGCGGTAGCCGAGTTGAAGTCAAGAGGCAAATCTCTCTCATGGTGTCTTTTGTCAGTCACGAATTAAAGCATTTGGAAACAAAGGGTCTTTATCATATACTTATTAGGGACAATTGAAAGTCTTGCCTTTATAATACACAAGAGCATAGGTCATCTATAATAATCGACTATAGTAAAAACCTCATTACGTTAAGACCCTACTGCTCTAGTTTGGAATTTGGACAGGAATTGGACAAATGCCTTAGTCTTAGTGCAAATTAATGGCATAAACACCATGAGGCGGTGTGGGAATGGGAAGGGCATCTTTAAAATGGTTTGGAGCATCCATTTATATACATTAAATTATGACTTAGCTATTTATTAGGCAGGGCCACCATGGACCTCCAGTCTGTAACATTTTAAAAAGAGAAAACTTTTTTTTCCTTTAATATGTGTTAAGTTCAATTCTGATTACAACTGCCTCCTCCCTCTCTTTTCCTCCTCCCATTAGCCTGGATTAGTGTGATTTTACTGGGAAGCTTAGAAACTGTAAATTCTGCATCAGTTAAAACTATTTACATTTTTATTAACTCATTAAAAAATAAAAGCACTTCAGAGAACAAAGTGTAGGCTTTGTTGCAAAAAATTTAAGTAAATCTGTATCTTTCCAATAACTGTTCTACGCACTAGGAAAGAAAGAGGAAACTGGAGAAGGTAAACAGGGCTAGGTTGGGGTGTTGGTGCTGGACTTATTTAGCCCACTAGAAATACCACAAGCATGAGGGAGAGAGAGGGCACACAGTGAAGGATGTGTTGATAGGAATATCCAGACATGATTTACCTTCAGATTTTCCCAGAGTTTGAAGAAATTACCAGTATTAAAATCCATTTCTTGATGTCTGGATTTTTTTGTTTACAAATAGCATCAAGAACTTGTGTAAAGAAAACTAAAGCTATGATCACAACGAGTTAAATCTTTATTCATTAGCCACGTTCTAATAGTTAACATGTAGACCTTATGAATTAGGACTAAGAATCTCATAGTTTACTCCCTTGGGAGGAGGGGAGCATCAGCAATTGAGTGTGTAGGAGCAGGGAATGCTGATAGAGGTAAAGCCAGCCAAAGTGGCGAAAACCACAATTAGAGATTTGCATTTGGGGCTCTCAAGCAAAGCTCCTTACATGGTCCTGTTTTTAACAATTTCTATTTTTGCTGCCCTTAATCTTCACCAGATGGGTGATTTGGAAGTTTCCCTCCCTGTAGAAATCAACTCATTTTCTTTAAATTTCCCTTAAAAGTCTTAGAACTGAAGAGTATCATCTGTGGTTGAAAGGTTTATTCCCTTTGCCCCTCAGCAGTTTGCAAATATTCTAAATAGAAGCCCCTCAGCAGTTTGCAAATATTCTAAATAGAAATGTTGCCACAAATGGGTCATTTTATTTAATTAGAAAATTTTTTTTGGTATGTATCAAATCTAACCATGGCCTCGGGATGATTCCTACATTAAGGAATGTCCTGACTTCATGGCAACTCCGATTACTAAACCCAGCTCTCAAAAATCAAGCGTAATAAAACTATGTACATATCTAGTTGCTTAAGACCACTAGCAATTTAAATATATGAAAATCTAGTTGGGCTAAATATGGTGTGGCCACATGACTTATCTAAACTGAGACTTTTTCAAAGTGAAAGTGGCTACTAAAATAATTAACAGGTGTTAATTGATCTAAACACTGGGACTGCCCCCAGCAAGCCAGTAAACTCACTGCTGACTTCCCAAGAGGACTGTCCTCATAATCACAACTCAATCTTGGAAAATTCTAGTCTTTACGTGGTAGTTTACACCCCAGCCTGCCCAGATTTCTCTCAAACCCTCTGCTGTTCTGTCCCCACCACTGTGATCTGGGTTTCTATTTTCTCCTTACTCATCACTCTACATAATGCCGGGCCCAAGTGGTTTAGATGATAAATACTGGGGACACCCACCGGACTCCATTGGCTCCCTCAGGTTAAGTGGGTATAGATAAAGGAATTTAGAGAGTAATTTTATTCTTTGCAAAAACATTCAAGATCATAGAAATGACCTATATTGATTTTAAAATTAGAAAAAACAATAAGACTTTTTCAAACCGGCAAATGAAATAGGGGCAACAATCATCTAAGCTAGCTTTAATAAACTTGTAAACCCCCAAATTTTGTACTATAGATGGCAGTGTAGTCTGCAGGAACTAAGGCTGTTTTGCTTTAAGATTTTTTGTTCTCAGAAAAAATACTAGTCGGTGGAATCTCTCAAAAATGGGAGAGAAGCAATCATGAAATGAATAAATATACCATCTTTCCATTTCTACTCATCTGTCACTTAAATTGAAGGAATGGATAAAGAAAATGTTCTCATGCAGCAATACATAAAATATGTAAAAATGAAAAATCCCTGGGGCTGGCCGAGCAGCGTAGTGGTTAAGTTCGCGTGCTCTGCTTCAGGGGCCCACGGTTTGCAGGTTCGGATCCCCAGCACGGACCTACGCACCGCTCATCAAGCCATACTATGGCAGCATCCCATATACAAAATAGAGGAAGATGGGCACAGATGTTAGCTGAGGGCCAATCTTCCTCACCAAAAAAAGAAAAAAAATTAATAGCCTAAGGCAACCACTAGCTTCCACATCAGTTGGCTATTAACTGGCCTCCCAAAAAGTGTTTTTCTTTTCTTGAGAATATGCTACGAGAGATCGATGAGCTATTTTTGGTATATATAAACACATGGGGTTGATTATATATTAGTTATCCTGTAAAATATACCCATTAACTTTTCTCAGAAGGCATAGGCTTTTTTGGTTTTTATATAACAAACCTCTGCTATGACAGTGTTTGCTTTTGTAAACTTCAGGTCAAATTATGTCTCCTGAAAGGTAACTACATATAAAACACTTACACGCTGAGACACTAGCTCTAAGAGTTGTCAATCCTGGTTTCAAACAGCAGCATAAAGGAATTCCTTTGAACTTTCTTTTGTAACCGAGTACCCTTTACTAATGTCACATAGATGCATTTCCTTCAGTCATTTAGTATTTAGTGAATGTCTACTCTGTGCAAGGCACCCAGCCAGGGCCTGACAGACCACATTCAAGTACAAAGAATCATTAGTGCCATTCCAAATCAAAGTGTAAGAACACTTTGAAAAAGGTCATAGGGTGATCAGAATGATGAGGTAAGCAGAATATAACAACATACATTAAAAGGTGATCTTTTTAACCTTTGACACTCCTTGGGACGCTACTCCTAAAGGAGGAAGTCTGCTGTGTTAAAGTCACATCCATGGATGGCACTGCTTTCCACGGCAGTATTCATTCCAAAGCCTTTCCTTCTGTCTCAAGACCTTCTACATTTGAGTTTGTTGAATGGAAACAGGTTTCTGAGTTTAGCCATAATGCTGCTAAACTCAAAATCAATCATTTGCATTTCTTTTAACTTCTATTGTTTTGTCAGGTCATATAGAACTTTAGCACCACAGAAGGGGTAAGATGTTTGGGCTGAGAAGGTCTACACACCAGAATATGTAACCTAAAAGCGACTTGTACCTGAGTGAGTTAGTCATTTTAAGGGTGCTGATGATGA